TGAACAGGGCACTTCCTTTCCTCTATGTCACTGCCCCAAATGCTGGTCACCTCTGTGTCAGTGCTCAGGGACAGCTCTGCATGTGCTACGCTCCAGAGCCAGCTGTCAAAGGCTGTAACTGGGGTCTCTGAAGGGAGGAGCAGCATTTGGTCACTGGGCAGAGCCTGACACTGACCTCTTCTGGCTGCTGGTAAGAGAGTTCAGGGTTTGTTTCAGACTTAATTTTTCCTGACAAAGTTGATAGACTGCTCAGTTCACATTTTATGTTCATTCCTAAAATTTTATTGTCATAAGAGGGACTGCCAGGTTATCCCAGTGCTTCCTGCTGGCTGTGGGATTTCAGTTACTACAGTGACTACAAGGAGGTAGGTTGGGCCAAAGCATTGGGCTGGCAATGAAAGACAGGTATTACTTATTATTTCTTCCATAACCTCTTCCTCTGGTTAATTACCATTTTTGCTTAAAAAAACCACAAACAGCGTTATATATTAAATCTGTGCTCTGTGTCTTGTCTAACACCACCAAGCTGGTTCAAATGACTGCATGACTCATCTCAGCAAGTTTAAGAATCTTAATCAATTAATATTCCTCCTCAGCTCATGGCCACTTGGAGAAGATAGCATTCCACCACTCTGGCATCCTGAAAGGACAAAATGGGATGCACTCTTAACAGATCTGTTTTAACAGAAAGGGCTCTTTCTCAAGCATTTTGCCTGACTGCATCTGAAGCCATTTTCCAATCTGTGGGTTCCTGGAGTTAACCTCATAGAGCACATAATACTCTGCTTAACTATTTCATGTGCTATCAGTTAGGGATTGTTATGCATAATACACTCAAGGCTAAAAAAAACCCAAACAAACAACAAAAGAGACAAAGTTTCAGGCCCACAGGACTCAAAGGAGATTTAATTCTCTATGCTCTTGATCTCAGGTTATAACTTTGCTGGTAAAAGGATCAGAGAGTTGCACAGTCTAACTCACCTTACAGCAATATGACAATAATTTTTCACCTCAGAAGCATTCAGCCTCTGAGATGTAAAGAAATATTTTCTATCCAACATCAAACATAAGTCATCTTCAGAATCCTGAAGTATGGAGAGAAGCCAACTGTTGTGGAGTACTCAGACTTGACACTGCTCCAAGGAAGTCAGATCCTCCAGGAAATGGCAAGAGCAGGACTCTGTTCTTGACCTGAAACCGGACTTGGGTCCAGGGAACTCCTGTCACAAGGAGGGACACAGTTTTGGTAACATGGAGATACTTAACAATGAACAGTGAGCTAACAAGTTATAGGCATGTCCTACTGTTGGGCAGGCATTTTGAACCATTTTGAACTGGAACCATAGTCTTAGACTTGGGTGCATCAGTTCTTTTTAAGAATTTCAGGAAATAACTATTAGGATCTGAAGTTGTTTTCTATCTTTTTTAGTGTCTATAATAAAGAAATAAAGCTGAAAGTGCCCCAAAGTCATGCAGAGAGTATGTTACAAATATCAATGCATGTATTAGAAGCAAAATTTTGAATTACCAAAAATAGTAAAAGCTCTGCTCATGAAACTAATAAAAACTCACACCAAAAATATATTTACTTCCATTTCACCTGAAATACAAAACACATAGATAAAGCTGTGGTGAAAATTGAGAAAAAGCATCTAAATTCAAAGTATGTTCTTACCCATAAACAAAAACAAACCCACCCTATGTGCTGATAGGATATCCAGGAATCTGAATATGTAGACTAGATGGGAGGATTTGGAGAAATAGTAAGTGGAGTGTTGCACTGGATATACGCAAGTACAAACCTTAAGATCCCTTGAGACTCCAAGAAATTCTCTTCTGTGCAGAAAGTGTGAAGCCCTGTAAGAAACTGACAGGAGAAAGAACAGAGTTAGGAAAGATAAATAAACACATGGTGGACATGAACTGGGTAATCATCCTACTGATGAAATGAAGAACCACCACTTGGTGCCATCTCGTCACTGTGCAATTGAACATCAGGTTTTCAAAACCGCAACTGTGACCTGGCTTGGTACCCTCTCTTGCCTTTGTGTGGAAAACCATCCCTTCTCCCATTATCCCAAAATAATTAGATTATTTTGATCTTGACCTTCTCCAATGGACGTTTCCTTCAAAAGAGAAATGGCAATCACTTAGCAAGCTGTGAGCATGCAGTCAGGATTGTCATTGTTGCTTTGCACAAGTGAGACAACTCCTTCTCTCACTGAGACTCAGTTCAGGTCTGAGCTTTTCCAGACCCATATTTGTTTTTGTCTAAATGTTAATTAATGATATTCAAGATGGCTGCTCTTTATTCCAGCTCTTCTTGCATTTTAATTATTAATTCTTCCTGAATGTGTCAAACTCAGTGTGACACTCTGCCAGTCATCCAGCAAGACAGAGCCCAGGTATTTCTATGGCAGCCTTGGGACTCCATCTCAAAATGTGACTCATTAACAGGCTAGCAGTGCCTGGACATAGCAAGAACAGCAAGTAGAGGGAAAGAGCTAGAACAATAATCTGAGGCAAATAATCCATGGATCTTGTTAAATGGATTCCACAGACAGCCACTGCAGCCCTAAAGCTTTTTATCATGAGGCCATTTGAGCCATGAGCAGTAAGGTCTGGCAAGCTGAGGCAAGCAGGACCAGCTCTTCCCGAGGAGCAAGTTGCTACCAGACAAATCTAGATGAAAGAATTTGCTCACATTTGGACATTGCAGTCCCATGACAGTTTAATTGTGGCCATTGACTTGAGACTATTGAGAGTGCTACAGAAGAAAGAAGTAAGAGCAGAATTTGAGAGTGAGGGAGAGGGAAATGAACTAAATAGGAGCAAGACTTGAAAACAGAGCTAGTGAGCTCCTTAAAATAGCTGTGCTTGCCTTTGATGTAAAATACAAAATCTTGGAAATAAAATGAGATAGAGAAGAAACAGATGGTGTAAGGAGGGATTCAAAAGTGAGGTGATGCACCAGAACTAGATATGAAGAAATAAATGATGCAGAAGTGGACGTAGCACAACAGGCAGGAGATAATCATAACATCTTTTTAGAAAAGCCCTTTGCAGCAACTGTAAGCTACAGCATCAGCAAAATACAAGAGCACTTGACTTATTTTCCTCTCTACAAGAATATACTTGTTTTGAAGTTAAAGTAGACCAAATGTGTTTCTGTGTGAAGAGTTTGTAGTTCTTGGCATGTTAAACATTACTTTAAAAAACTTTCACACCTAAGAGTTACACTCATTTGCTTATCTTAACAGCACAAAAAAAAAAAAAAAAAAAAAAAAGTCATACCATAGCTTGTTTGATCAAAACAGGAATGGTTCTAAACCTTCATTCTTATATTTTCATTGATCACTATAATACAGACATATAGACATTTCCTTCTTCAGTTGGGAATGTGGCTTTCTTATCTCTTAGGTTAAAGCTATAAATCAAAACAGCTCCAGGTCCTACCAACTATATGCTTTGGGGAGTTATGAATTTTTTAGGTTGGCCCTTTCATATGCCCCAGTTCCCACAGAGGTGGTGTGTCACAGGTCCAGCATTTGGAGTCTGGAGTTGGAGATGAGCTTCCCAGCTTGGATCCACCTAAAATCCTTTTTTTTTTTCTCCAGGAGTACTTACTGCTCGACAGAAAAATGACACATTGTCATTTTCATTGTATATTTCTTTTCTGTTTTGACAGATTTACAACACTATATGTCTTGTACCAGTCTCTTCCAGCTATGACAAAGTCAGTCAATATGGGTTTTTTTATAAAATTCAAGTGGCAATTATATACTTCTTAAAAAAGAGAACCATGAGAGTCTGAGCAAGGAAAGCAAAATGCTTAGAACAATACTGCAATACTGTAGGGGAAGCGATCTCCTCTGGTGTGTGCAGTAGCAGGAGGTGAGGCTGCTGTGCCAGCCTCCTCCTCCCTTTGTCTCCCATCTGCATGGCAGTCTCAAGGTCTGAAAAGTAATTCTTTGTTTGCTTCTGGTCCCTGAGGGATGAAACACTGAGATAAGGCTTCTTCGAATAAATAATCTCAGAATTTCTCTCTGTCTCTGGTTTCCACCCAGATGATGTATTTTAGAATTTGTGAACCATCCCTACTGCCTGACCTGCAATTAAACAGTTGCTTGGTCCTCTAAAGCACTGCTCAGCTCCCTGTCCCACCAGCTGCTCACAAGCTGCCACTCAGCTTTGAGTGCTGCTCCCTTCAAGGGTACAGGGAAATGCAAAACTCTACAGCTCCTCAGCAGACCAGACCCTGAGATCCTCACTCAGCCAAACCGCCCAGTGTTTTGGTGGGACCCAGCCTGTATGAGGAGTCAGAGGGTTTGACGCACCATGGTCATGCTGCTGCTTGTTCCTCCTCCCACACAAGCCAACTGTTTTCAGTCCTAGAATTTTAGCCTGGTTTGTAAATAACAGTCACCCGGGAAGAAGTGTGTTTACCTCCCACCTGATAGAGGCCCTGGGAGTCCTTTATTTCTCTGTTAGCTAATCTGTTTCTAAGGGAAAGACGGAATAGAAGGGAAAGGTGGGGTTAGCAACAATTTATCTCTGTACCCAGTTTGCCAAAGGCTATGACTGTGGATTGGTTTTCTTCCAACAGCGTGAAAATATTTCCTATAGGCTGCAAATCAGGCTTAATTAAATGTTTTTCTGTGACTTTTTTCCTGTGTTTTTTTTTTTCTTTCCCCCTGCAAATGGTGAGCAAACCTAGATACCAAATGACAGCTCAAGTCCTGAAACCACAGATGGCTCACCCAGAGCCCTTCCCGCAGGCTAGCCTTTCCAGGTTGGCTGTAGGATGGATAACCAACCTCACTTTTCCATGAAAATCATAGTGTCGTTTTCTCATGTAGTATTTCTGGGAGGACATGAAAAACTGGAGGGGGGAGGCTTACTAATGAGGCAAACAATCAGTATTTTTGTAGTCTTGTTTGTTATACTGCCTGTGTCTTTGTAATGTAAATGCAAATAAACCATCTTTATTTTATTCATAGTTCTAATGGAAAGTCTGTGTCATGGTCTGAACCAGGTGGAAGACAAGATCCAAAGGGGGAACATATGTGGCACAGACTCTCAGTGCATGTGAAGAACCAGGAGACAGGGTGCAATCAAACAGCGGTGATCAAGCCCCTCACTAAAGACTACCACAGCCAAAGTCTGACTTTTACTGACATCAGCACTAAGACTCTGTACAATGTGGAGGAAGAAGATAGAGAGCCCGTTCACCTCAACCAGTCCAGCAGTCCTTCCATGGTGGTGCACAGGCGGGTGGCAACGACGCCCCCGCTGCAGGCCACGGCGGAGGAAACCCAACTCTTCTTGCCTGAGCAGTCCCCCAAGACCTTGCCCCTGCAGCCACAGTCTCTCATGGACCAGCTGCAAGGAGTGGTCAACAAGTTTGCGGCTGGCATCCCCGACTTCAACACTGTCCTTCCCCCTCCCGGCTCAGGGAATGGCATGCGGCCCCCCTGCCCACCCCCGCCACCGCAGCAGCTGCCCCTGCAGCCTTTCCAGGCGGCTGCCTTCAGCCAGGAGCCCCTGTCTCCCCCGGCTGAGGAAGCCGAGAGTGAGAAGGTGAAGCTCATTCAGGGATACGTGTATGAAAAGAACACAGAGGAGGAGGAGGACGAGGAGCCGGCAACCAGCAAACTGACTCTAGAAGACTCACCGGCGCTTACACCCCCGTCCCCTTTCCGGGATTCGGTGGCTTCGGGCAGCTCCGTGCCCAGCTCCCCTGTGTCGGAGTCTGTGCTCTGCACACCCCCAGATGTGACCTACGCCTCTGTCATCCTGAGGGATTATAAGCAAAGCTCATCCACCCTGTAGATGCTGCAAGAGACAAGATGGGAAGGACTTTGGCAGCTGCCCATTGGGAGGACTTGTGGAGACAAGACTCCCAGGGCTGCGGGAGAGAGAGCAGAGAACAAAGTGACAAATGACAGGGCGAAAATTTCATCCTGCACTTAAATAACTAAAATCAAACAAAAAGAAAATAAAAATCCATTCTGAGGGCTCAAGATTCTCTATCTGTTAAAAATAAAAGTACTTTGGGAAAATGTTAGGAAACCATAACAAAGCACAAACTAAAGGAACAACTTCTATAGCAAAAAATAAAAAATAAAAGAATAAACATGCAGGAAAAAAAAATAATCACACTTAGTCACACCCTTTCTTGGCAATGCTTGAAAAGGACTCTGGGAAGTGCGACCTGGAGAAGTCATTAGCACACCTCATGACTGCTGTCTGTCTGCTATGGAAGTAACACACCTAGGAGCTGGAAGGGCAGAGTGTGGTGCAGGGCAACAAAGCTACTTGTATATGAGACGTATATGCATAAATATTTTTTTCCTGGTTTCTACAGGTAGTATAACTGTGGAACTTTATACAGGTTGTATAACTGTGGAACTTTATTTTGGGGAGAGGAGATGAGATAATGTGAAAGCACATGGCTCTTACTGACTCCTATCTGAATGATTTATTCTTCATGCTAGACTGCTTTTTGGGGGATTTGGGCTTCTTTCAATGCTGATTGTGAACAGAACAAGAAATATGATCAAGTTAAGACTCAAGAGGTTTCTGAAGAAAGCCTTGCCATAGTACTTGTAATATGATAAGGACTTAGAAAAACTGCCCTTTTGTATAAGGTTGCAAACCATGTGGCTAAACTGTTACACAACATTTCCTGTAGCAGAACAATATTTATTGACTATCTTTTCATAAAACAACGTATTTTGCCATGCCATTGCATCATTCCTTTGTATTACTTTGGAATCAAATGCATTGAGAAATAGCTGTTTACTTAGAGCAACAACTGTTAGTCTGGAAGAAGGGCAATTCCACACTGGGGGTTACGGAGCCTCCAGGCAAGAGAGTGAGCGTACGTTTGTGTATCTGTATGCATGGGTATGGTGTGTGTGAAGAGTAATGTCCAATAACTACCACTGGAAGATTGTCTTATATACTATGAATATTTTTATGTTTAAATCATGTTTTTATATCGCCTTGGTACAAATATTCGATAGATCTTTGAAGGTTTGTATGCCGTGCTGACCCATCCTTTTTTTCATATACAAGCTGAGACAGTCATTACCCTTATAATAGGGTGCTTTGTTTTGCAGATATTTTATGAAGTAGACATATGATATTAATAACTAGTGCATTGAGAACTTGCTATTTTACATGTTTTGCAGCAAGCGTGGCTAACCAGAAAAAAAAAAAAAAAAGAAAAAAAAAAGTCTGTTTTAGATCTCTTGCAGGTGAGAGACAGGAAAAGTAATCCAACTATTTCACTGCTTCAGATAATTTAAAATAAAATCGTGTCAGGACAGGAAATTTCATCAGTGCTTAATGTGTGCATAAATTCGCAGGTTTTGTTATTGACAGTGCTTTTAAACCCTCTATGATGTTTAGTTGCATGTCCTTTCCTTATGCTTTCACTTCTTGCGTTTAATATACAATACAGCTTAAAGGTCACTTCCAGGCAGCTGTAGTTCTGTCATTTATTCCTCTTCCTCCTCTATCTTTCATGTGTTTCCCAGAGATGGGCCTAATCCAAAGCTCCCTAATGACTGGCGTGATAAAAGTCCAGGTGAAATTGCTGTGGCCTGAACTTCATTATAGTGATGATTACCCTATTTATAAATGTGCTTGTTATACATACACAGATCAGGATTTTAGCTGCTATTATCTTTGCTTGTGCTGCTGAATTCAACTGAGGACAACAATCTGTCCCACAGTTCCACACTTTATTTCAAAAAATATTTTAAAGGAATGTCTTCCTGTTAATATAGTTGCAAACCTTGATTTTACCATGCTTCTTTTGAATATTCTACCAGATTTTTTTCTGAATTAATCATAATTCTAGTATTTTTTTTTTCTTTTCACTTGAATTTTAAGAAGTCCTGCTTGTTATCAATTCATCTCTGAAGATACAAATCTCATAGTTTTTCCCTAATTATGCAGTACTGGTTTTGGAATGTTTGGCTCATATTCAAAACCAGAGAGAGTCTTTTCTTCTCATCCTCTTTTCGTAATGTTTGCTCCTTTCAATATCATTTGTGGGCAATTGCTATCATCGTCCTGATGTGGAAAGCATGAAATTACTTTGCCCAAAGACAAGTTTTTGTCAGTATATTGATGTCTCTATAATGAATTGAAGACACCTGAGGGTTAGTTGGTTGATTTTTTGTTCTGCTTGGGGCTTTTAGGGGCATATTTTCAGTTGCTGTTTCTTTTATTTAAAATGCTGATTACTCCTTAAAGCAGCAAGAAAAATGTCGTATCTTCTTTGCTGATCACTGCACTGGCAATGAATTCTATCTTCTAATAATTGTAGTATAAGATCTGCTATGCTGTTTCCAAAAACATACGTTGTCAGTAGCACAGAGCTGATACTAAGAAGCCAGTTTTTGAAGATGTGAGAGAGATAAGAAAAAGAAATACAGCAGATTTGTATAGACGAGGAGATGGCAATGTGGCAAGGTACTATACTGTTTTCATATCTGTCTGTTTTGAACATATTAAGCACTGATTTTATTACTGCAATGTAATTATATCATGAGTAGGAGTTTTCTTGAAATTCAGTATATTAGCTTTTAGTTTGTAATTGTTAAAACTGGAAACATACACATGCATAAATATATCTAAAGAGCAAGAACTCACCTTGTGTATGCAGCTGTATGAGCTACAAAGCTTTCTGTAGAAGTTCTTTCTTTTGGTCTGTCAAATGCTTGATGAAAACTGCCTTTTTGTCAAAATGATCTTGAAAATGCTGTAAAATAAATATTTTCTATTTATTATTTAAAAATAGAATGCCACAATTTTTAATTTTTGGTTTCTTGTGTAGAAAATAGTCATGTATATTAACTGTTCCAGGCCTTTCCAGCATCATGAATATGAGATGGTGGGATATTTAAATGGAGGTAGGTATTGATTAAATTGTGTCATGAAAGTGAAATGGTGGAGGGTTGGAGGATTTTTCTTAGGTAAAAACCACCAGATTCTTGGCTTCCTAATAAAATTCAGAAGCACTGTAACTATGCATTCAGGCACACAAGTTGTAGAATTCAATGGGAAATGACAGGAAATTTTGCTTCCCAAGGACATGGGAAAACACCAGCCCTTCTCTGAAAATTGTCTTTGAGATGTCTGCTTCTCCCATCAGGGAAATTGCAATGTGCTTTCTTGACAGCTGTAAATGATAGGCATTGACCCACCCTGGCATTTTGTGCCCTACCTTTACTGCTTCTGGATACAGCAAAGTACTGGGACTCCTGACTCCTGCTCTGCAACTCACAAACACTGTGGCTTTTTGGTGTCTCCTGAACTGCTCTGTACCTCAGCAAGACACTTTTTTGGAGTGCTGCTGGGATTTTTAGAAACAAGTGGCACTAAACATAGAAAATCTAGATAATTTTGTCTTTACACTTGTGAATAGGCTTGTGGCTCCTTTGTTTGGATCTGGCCTTGCAAGAACCCATGTCTGAGGAGCCAGTCCACCTACAACTACTGCAATGCAGGAGTACAGACAGTGATATTTCATTCTGTGGTAAGTATCAAAAGTTTGGTTTCTTTGTTCATAGAGCTTTTCTTTTTCCTTATCCCTTTTTATTTTTGTTTTCAAAATCTTTTTTTGTCTATGTCTTACTAAAAGTTCTGCTGACCAAGTGTATTCAATTGCAACAACATCCTCAGAGAAACACAATACTCACCCCCAGATCACCCAGTGCAATGTTGCACAAGCTGCCGAAAAAAACCCAAAAACATCTAAAGCAATTTTTCACTGGCTAAATGGATGGCTGGACCAGAACCACAGAGCAGCAAAGCACATTTGACATTTAGTCTCCATCCTTCTGTCAGAGTGTTGGCAGCTCCACCAGCCCATCCCATGCCTCTCCACCCAAGCTCTGCTCAATAACTTGGGTCTCCAGACTGGTGTCAGGTACACTTTGCATGGAGTAAGTGGCTACCAAAAACAAGGCAGAAAAAGGAAATTTGGCCCCTGGGCTTGTATTCATCACTCTTTAGACAAAAAAAGGGGAGCAGCTTGCTAATATCTGCTCTACACAAGGTCTGAGTGACTTAAAAATGCTTCTTATATGGGAGTGGGAAAAGTGTGGGTTTGCAGATTGCATTGTTGTGGTGGTTTTATTCCCAAATAAATGAGTCACTAGACACTTGGCAAGTATCTGTCTGCAAATCATTGGGAAGGAGAAGCAGACACTGTAGCCTATTTTTATCTGTGTAAGATTCCCAAAGGGATATTAGCAAAAAAAGAAGATAAGGAATGCCACACTGCCAAGTGCATGGTACTAACACAGGCCCCATATCTAGATCTGGACTCAAATTTTGGCAAACCCTGCAAGCTCCCAAGCAGGTAGAAGAGAGCAGGAGTGACTGGTTGTCCTTTCCCGTGCTACAGTTAATTGTATCCTACTAAAAAAAAAAAAAAAAAAAAAAAAAAGCAGACTATTCTTTGCCTTTAATTCAGCCTCCAGATCACACAAAATGGCACTGCTCCCCCAAGAGTGCAGGTCACTCTTTGGTACCAAGTAAGAGCATTTGTTTTCTGCTTGGTTTCACTGTGGGCGTAAGCAATGTATCTCTACAAAAGTAAAATCTCATTGTGAGTTGTGGGTTTCCATAACCAAAAGGCCTCTAGGTAGGTGGAGAAGCAGCTGGCACAGATACCAGTGCAGACAGATAAGAGTTTAGGAGTGGTATGTATCTATGACATTTAATCCACCCACTTTATTTATTGCACACCGTGCAATGTGTAGGTGGCATGAGATCCATTCCCCCACCTACTCCGCGGTATGGTGTGTGGGACTCCTACCTCTCCGTGCTGCTCTGAGGCTGAACCAGGAACAGATCTGCAAGACCTCCCTCCTGGAAAGATGGTGTTCCTGGAGGACTGGCTCAGGGCAGGCCAGTGTCTTGTCAGCTCCCTGCTTTCCTAACACAGGGTGTCTTTGCAATGCACTGAGTGTGTTTTCCTTGCAAGCGTCACCTAGAGACAGGGAATTTCAGTGCCTTGGAATACCTCAAAAATAAGTCAATAGTCTGCTGTTTCCCAATCTGCCCTCCAACAGCCCGTGGTGAGGTGTCTCCCAC